GAATGGCAGTTCCTGGTGAGTGAGGCATGAGTCAGCCAAGGAGAATGGTGGCTGAGTCTTCATACCCTCAGGCCTGGTTAGTAAATATTAGATGACACGACAGTATTGATCGGTTCTTACCCAGCCCCGAGGGAGAGCAGTTTCTGTCTCCGACAGCAATGTCTTGGATATAGACAAACTCTGAAGAGCTCAAAGGTGCTGTCTCGATCGATCAGCTGCCTCCTGCACACCCCCCAGTAAGGATGTGCCCACAACCAAGATACATGCCCTTGACCGGAATCAAACCTGGGACCCTTCAGTCCGCAGGCTGACGCTCTATCCAGTGAGCTAAACCGGTTCGGCCAGAGTTTATTCTTGATTAATTATTGTATTACAGCTGTAAACCTACTGTTGCCCACCCCTGTAAATGTCACCCGAAATTATATGATCTCCTCCCCAGAATTTGCTACCAGCCGTGGGGACACACTGGGTTCTGCCCATTTTACAGATAAAGAAGAGGACCCAGAGGGTGGTGCGACCTGTTGACAGGCACCCAGCAGGCGGGACCTCCTGGCTGTGGCTCGCACTGGCTGTTTGCCAGCTCATTGCTCCTTCCTGTCTTCTCCTCACAGTCCCTGTCAGCCCGCCATTCACTCTAGCTGCTGGGGATGTGGCATGGAGCAAGACAAGGCCCTGCTCTCTAGAGCTGAATTCTTGGAGGGGAGACAGATTGACAGGGCAGGCCCCACCAGGAGATTGAGTTCCTAGTCTGTGTCCAGGCCCTGGGTCCCCAGGCTGGGCGGGGGAGAGCAGATCTGGCCTAATTGTGGATGGCCCTACGGGTCACAGATCCGCCTTTCCCTCCCAGGACAGTTATCAGGATAAATATACCAGCTCTCCATTCCTGGGGAGTTACTCACTGAGCAAAAGTACCCCACCGCTGCGGATTGGATTACCTCTGCTCTCACCGCTGTGTGCTCAGGCTGGGGGAGGGGAGACCTGCCTTTTTGTTCTGTTCTCCTTCCTAATCTGGAAGAGTTTCAGGAAAGGGGCCGAGAGGAGGCCATCCGCAGGCGCTGGGCTTGCTGTTTACACAGCTCCTTCCTTGGGAAGGCCCAGCCTGCTCACTGCTCCCTGAGCTCAGGCAGCCGCAGGAAGTGTTCTGCAGGGGGACCCCAAACCTCCTGGGGCCCACAAGGTAGGCCATAAGGCTGAGCCTCTCCAGGAACTGAGCTGATGCCGCCTCTGAGTCCGGTCTCGTATTAAAAGGCAGGACGTACAGCTGGCCCTGGCCGCGGGGAAGGCACTGGTGCGCTGGCAGCCCCTCTGCCTGTGCGGCCGCTCTGGGCGCTGTAGCTACTCCTTCCCTCCGCCGTCAGCTCCTAGGAACTGCCCGCCCCGCGCTGGGCGCTGGGCGCTGACTTAAACTGGCCCCTGACAGAGTGTTGATGTGTCTTGTCCTGTGGGCCTCTCCTAGGCCTGTGAGGTGGTGTCTTCCTGATGGCCCCTGTCTCCTCTAGTTCTGCCTGGGGCTGCCGAGCGGAGAAGTGGGGGCGGGGGCAGCACTGGGGCAGGTGTGGCGGTGTGGGCTCTGGTACCCGACGACGCCCCATATTTACCTGTTCCATCCTGGAGGCCTGTTGGGAGGCTTCTCCAGGGTGACTTTGGTTTCCCCAGAACGGTGCCCCTAACTCCTGACCCAGGACCGCGCAGCAGCCTTTGCCCCAGGAGTGGGATGGGTTGTCAGGGCCGCCTCTCTCTCCTCCAGGTTCACCACCTCTCTGGCAGGGAGCTCCCAAGTCCTGAGCGTGTGCTCTGTTCCTGGACGGTGCTAAGCGAGCACCGTATCTCCATTTTCTCTTGTAATCCTTATTCCTCCGAGTTAAGGGGTGGAACTCCCATCTGACAGAAAGAAAACCAAGGCCCAAGAACAGCTAAGCAGCCTGGCTGGGCAGCTCAGCCACTAAGCAGTTGGTGCGACTCAGATCCCCCTCCCCGTGCAAGCTCCAACAGCTAGCGACTCAGAACCCCCTCCCCTGGCTCAGAACCCCCCTCCCCGTGAAGCTCCAACAGCTAGTGACTCAGATCCCCCTCCCCTGGCTCAGAACCCCCCTCCCCGTGAAGCTCCAACAGCTAGTGACTCAGATCCCCCTCCCCTGGCTCAGAACCCCCCTCCCCGTGAAGCTCCAACAGCTAGTGACTCAGATCCCCCTCCCCTGGCTCAGAACCCCCCTCCCCGTGAAGCTCCAACAGCTAGTGACTCAGATCCCCCTCCCCTGGCTCAGAACCCCCCTCCCCGTGAAGCTCCAACAGCTAGTGACTCAGATCCCCCTCCCCTGGCTCAGAACCCCCCTCCCCGTGAAGCTCCAACAGCTAGTGACTCAGATCCCCCTCCCCTGGCTCAGAACCCCCCTCCCCGTGCAAGCTCCAACAGCTAGTGGCTTAGAGCCTGGGGGGAGGGAATGGCTCAGAGTCCTGCCGGCCCCACCACTCCTGCGGTTATCTCACCCTCTTGGTGTCTGTTCAGCTCGAGGCCCGGATGGCCTTATCGCTGCTGAGGAGGGGGGCGGGGGGGCTTGGTGGAGGAAGGCGCTCTTGTGAAAGAGCCCGGACTGGTTTCATGCACCAGCTGGGGTTAAAGGCGGGAAGGGTTCTTTAATTCTCTGACTTGCTGGATGCCATGTGTCAGTAGGTCAGCCTGAGTCTCCAGAGCCAGTCTGGGGGCGCCCCCTACCTTGGTAGAATGAGGGGTTCTGGGGCTCCCTCCTCTGCTCTGCACCCCTAGGCTGGTTAGCCCTGGAATGCGGCAGACGGCCCGTGGGCCCCCTCCCTCCAGGGGCAGCAGCCCCAGGCGCTTGAGTCTTAACCCCCGCGGGGCTGCAGATCCGGCCGCTCCCAGCAGGTGCTCAGGTCAGATTACGTTCCATGGCCCGTGGCTGGGGCTGGGGCGAGGCCTGGTTCAGAGCTCCCTGCATCGAGGCGCGGCCTCGGGATGGGGTCCGGCACCTGCACGTGGTCTGTCTGCGGAGGGCGTGGCACCCGAAGTGGTCACTCGGGGGTCGCCCAGGCCGCCGCGGGCGCCTCCTCGGAGTCCGCTCTGTTCCTCCACCTCAGCCCAGCTTCCCGGCATTGAAATCTACCTTGTGCATCCGCCGCGGGGGCTCCCGGGCCTTCCCGGCCCGAACCCGTGATCGCGCGAGGTTAGGGAGCCGGCGGGCCGGTAGCGCCCTCTGGCGGGGAGTGGCGACGGTCTGCACCCTTCGTTGCCGGAGCGGAGCCGAGTGGTCTTCGCTGGGCTGGAGACGGCACTCCGCGCCCTCCCCTCAGGGCCTCTGGTTTGGAGAGAACCTCTCCCTCCACAGGCGCGTTGGAGCTCAGCCGGGCTCGAGAGGCGAGAAGCGCTCGGGATCTGGGGTGGCTTCCCCGAAAGGGGCTGGGAAGCCCATGCCTGGGGCCGGCCCCAGGGCTGCCTTGTTGGGAGGGTCTCAGGCCTGGAGAGAGTAGAGGAAGTCAGGCCTGCCTGATCCTGCATGAGCGCGCCCTGACGGCTTCCGTTCCTGCTTCTTTGCCCAGTCAGCCCCATTTTCTCTGGCACCTTCTTTGGGGTATGAGTAGGAGGGACCTCTGAGCCTCCCCCTAGGGTGCATAGAGCTGGGTGCCAGGCGGTAGATGTAGCTGCAAACTGGGGACCCTTCCCTGTGGGCACTGCCTGCAGGTGAACGCCTCTGTGCAGTCCTCACAGGGCCACTCTGTTTACTCCAGCAGGGGAGGAGTCTGCTGAACTTGGAAGGGAACTTTGGCCTGTAACCACTGTGCCCATAGGAACCCACCGCAGGGGCCAGCGTGTCCTCCATGGCTGCTCGGAGTCCTGGCTCTCTTCCCTGAGGTGTTTGTGGAGGTTTGGGGGGCGGTGACACCAAGCCCCGTCTAGCCCCTGAACAGAGACTGAGGGTGGAGGGGGGGAAGTGCGCCACAGACCCTGTGACTGCGTGTCCTCGCCGGGGTTCCTCTCATCAGGAGTTTGGAAAATGATGTCTTTTCTTTCTCCCTGACATCCACAGTGTTTCACTTGGAATGTTACTTTACTACTTTAGCTTCCTTTCATGTCTTGCCCAGATTCTGCCCATGGAAGACTTAGGAGAGGTCAGTACTTAGCATCACACCCTGAGCGCCTTCGAGGAAGATCTTTTTCTGAATTTCACAAAGCAGCTAAGATCTGATGTTTGCAGCTGCCCATGTATACGCTGGCGTCTATCTATCCTGTGTACACCCCCCAGCTGACTGAGGAAACAGGCTAAGGGGAGCTAAGTGATTTTGCTGTGTGGCCATGGACAATGGAGCGGGCAGCTGGGGCTTGAACTCAGCTCTGGCTCGACTCCAGAGCCTCAGATCTTTAGTCTCTGTACTCCGGGACTGCGCCTTCCGGACAACTGATGTATCTGTTGAAAGAGCCCATTGAAATCGTAAACCAGAATCCAGTCCATAAACCAGTAAGCCAGACTTAGAGTCAAATCATGAGTGACAAGGAGGGGTGTTTGATGCAGAGGGCAGTGCTTTGACAGGGAAGGTTAACCATCTGTCTTCTATTGAGTGTTTGGGGCCCAAGAAACCCAAGTTCATATCCCAGCTGGACCCCTTAAGTTGGCTTTGGCTGTGTGAGGTTGTGCCTCTGCCTCAGCCTCAGTTTACCACCTGAACTAGTGTCATTATGCGGAGGTGACGCGGCTGAAGCTCCTGGCACGTGGTGGCTGTTCAAGCACAGCAGCTGCTCCTGTTACCCTCAGGGTTGCACTTGTTGCCTGCTCCGGGGAGCCCTCTGGGCTTTCTCCATGATGAAGGAGAAACCCCACCCTTGCTGGATTGGGCCCAGAGGAAGTGGGGACTCTGCATGCAGCCGGCGCAGCAGGAGGGGCTGCGGAGAGGCCACTGGGATTGGCCTGGGCACGGTTCCTTTTCTGCTGTTACCTAGACACACACTGACTTGTTCTAGTTCCGGTTTGCTGGAGACAGGAAGCCAGATCCTTCCAAAGGACCTGGAGTGGGAGGAGTGCAGGAGCTGACCTTCCTCGGAAGTCAGGGGACCTGTCCTGGGCTGCAGGGCCTGGGATTCCCTCTGAACCACTGGGCAGGAGCCAGGGTAGGTGTGGCTGGCCTTGGGGGAAGGAGACGGGCAGGCAGTGGGGGGAGGTGTGGGCCCACAGAGCCGGCCGGGGGGCCTCCCTCCCTCTCTTTCTCTGAGCTGGGGTGGGGTGAGGAGGGATCCGCCTGGCAGCCCTGAGAGCTGGGCCCGTCCTTGAGGAAGCTGTGCCCTTTAAATATGGCATCAGCTGGTGATCACAGCGCCTCTCGCAGGCCAAGTTTTGGGACTTCTGAGGAGTCAGACCGCCAGTCACTTTACTGGCTTGGCGATCGGGGACGAGTCCCACCACCTCCCGAAGCTGGTTTCCCGTCTGTAAAGGAAGCATCAGAATCCCACTTCGTGGGGCGATAGGAGGGTTAACTGAGACCAGGAGTGCACAGTCCCACACTGCGCCTGCCACCAGGAAACGACAGTAGGGCAGCCACTGCTTTCTCAGGAGTTTGTCCCAAGGGCCGGGGACTGTGTCCCCGGCAGGTCGGTCGCCGGAGAGGTGAGAGTGAGCAAGTCCCTGAGCGTGGCAGGAATGAGGGTGTGGCGTGTGGGGCTGGGCTCTCTGGGTTGTGGGGCTGGTCACAGTCCAGGAGGGGAGAGACGAGCGGGGAGATCAGCAGTTCCTACTCCGACCTGCTTGCTGTCCTCCTCTTGCCTGGAGACGGTGATCCAGGGCCCTCTGTTGTCTGCCTGGTGCGGAGTAATGGAAGCTTGCACTCGAGGGCCCATTCGGCTCCCTTGCTGCTGATAAAAGCAGAATAGTGGGGCCCTGGAGCCTGTGGGGCCAGGCTGCTTGCCAGGCTTC